ATAACAATATTAATGAATGATCTAAATAAATTAAACATGTTTAGCCTCTGGATCACGTAATTTACTAATAAAAAGGTTAAATACCTGTAGTACTGTCTGTGATCCTGGAATTTAGGTCAGCGACCCAGGTTTCGAACCTAAAGGTTCATTTTCAAGCTGGTTAGCAGAGTTAAAAACACATAATCCTCTTCATAACTGTGGAGAGTCGTTATAACACACAATACACGAAAAAATTAAACAAAATTGGCCAATTATAATACTGGTACGGTAGCGTGCGTGGTGTAGCCGGCAAAAGATGATTCGGCTACACCACGCACGCTACCGTACCAGTATTATAATTGGCCAATTTTGTTTAATGTTTTCGTGTATTGTGTGTTATAACGACTCTCCACAGTTATGAAGAGGATTATGTGTTTTTAACTCTGGTAACAAGCTTGAAAATGAACCTTTAGGTTCAAAACCTGGGTCGCTGACCTAAATTCCAGGATCACAGACAGTACTACAGGTATTTAACCTTTTTATTAGTAAATAAATTAGTCACAAAAACAATGTCTCAGGCTTCTGATTGGTTTCAATGCAATGGAACTTTGCTCAACACAGATAAAACACAAAATTTGCTTTTTAGTTTAAAAAACACCCCAAATAATTTTAATCTTGATTTAGTCACAAATGCTAAATTCCTAGGTATTTATTTAGACAATCATTTAACTTAGATCTCACATTTAGATTACATTAGTACGAGACTATCAAGAGTAATATATCTTATGAGACGCCTTATAAACATTATTCCTAAAAATTACATCAGAAGTGTGTACTTTGCCTTTTTTGAATCTATCATTCGATAGGGTTTAATACTGAGGGGAAACTGCTCAGGAATTCAGGACATTTTACTGCTCCAAAAGAAGGTGATTAGAATTATGGCTGGAGTACATTTTAGGGAACATTGCAAACCACATTTTAGGCAGCTTCAGATTTTAACCGTCATAGACTTATATATTTTTGAAATCACAGTTTATATATTAAAAAACTCTCATCTATTAAAATTCAAAGATAAATTCATAATTATAATACCCGAAACAAAACTAAAGCAGCGATTCAATATTGTCGCTTAACTAAATCGTTGGATAGCCATGTGGTGATATCTTTAAAATTTTACAATATCTTTGAGCCTATGATTAGAAAATATTCAATAAATCAATTTAAAAACAAACTCTATAATTGGTTACTAGATAACCCATTTTATACATTAGATGACTTTTTAAAAATTGGTGAAATCAAATTCTAACATAATGTAATCTTTGCACTTTTTTTATTTTATTATTATTATTTATGTTATTACTATTACCTTTTAATATTATTAAATTGTATTTTACATGAGATTTTTAGAGGTATTTAAAATTTAGTTTTTTAAATGATTTACACAAATTTGTCTAACCTCTTTGATTGCTTGACAAAAAAACTCGAACAAATTTTTGTTTGTATTTAATTACTGTTGTTGGAATTTAACTATTCCTAATATTATTTCATTATTTTTTTCTTTTTTCCTTTCATTTTAAGAAATTTACTAAGCTCTTAAATGTTTTTATGTTTTATTAATAGATAGCGTAAAAGAAAAAAAAGTTAAGTTAGTTTATCATTTTAATTTTTACATCCTCTAGATACTTAATCCTATACTATATTGTATTTTAGATGTGTAGTATGTATGTATATGTTGTAGGCCTATACATAGGCTGATGTGTTGACTTTGTCAATGATTTGTGAAAATCCAAAAGACAAATAAATGATATGATTGATTGATTGATTGTGCTCTTACCGTGTCTGATAACATCCAAACACAGAAACCTTGCCTAAAATTGTACCTATCTTGACAAATTATTTGCAGTGGCCTATATTACAGACCGTGGCCCACCGGGTTGGTAACATTATTGAAAATAACACAACATTTTGGCTGTAAATATGGCCCAATGAGTAAATACTATTTAAGCAGCTACTGTCATGACAGAAAGGTCATATTCCTTTTAAACTACATCACATCATCCTTTATAAGATACATTGATTAACAATGCATGTAAACGTGAATATTTACGTGACAGCCAATTTACATTATTTTTGCTTTTTGGAAATGCCTCATTGCTATGTCATTTGCATTATTTGTTGCCAATGAAGCCGCACGACCATATAAATGAGGAGGCCCCTAACAGTTCAAGAATAAAAGCCAACTTCACTTCAAGTATATCCACTACACCTAACATTCCGTTGAGAGATTATATTGTCAACTTTATGTAATTGATAAGGCTGAGACAACTAACTGACATTCCCCATGTAAAGGGATTCCAGCTTTAACAGTAACCCCACAACAAATTTCTCAAACCTGTGCTAGAGGGTTATTCATTAGCACAGAAGTACGATATGAAAAATCAAACTTACACTGTAACGGATATCTCCCGTTGAAGTTAGAACGTGTCTTCCGAACAAACAGATATTTTTTTTCAAATAAAATCATAGATTAATCTGCATTATACTGATGAAATAACTTAAGTGTTTGACTACAAAAGATCCACCAATACGATTTTAATACTATTTAAAGGTTCTTCCAAAGGAAGAGATACCAGATGATGTACTAATAACACCGATGACGTACAGTATAGGAAATATTTTATTCATTGAATGATCAACCATATTTGGTAACTAATGCAATTAATATCATTATTGTTTTTACACTTATTAATCTTTAAACAATGCAAAATGCTCAAAATATGTACATTTTATACAATTTATCGCAGTTAGATGAATTAGCGTAAGCCTTGAAAATAACCGTCGATTTTGACGGGTTTCACCTAGTCTTCTTAAATTTATTGATGTTATTTTCAGTTTCAGTCAATAGAAAGTCTATGTAAGTATTTTGCTCCAATATATGAAGGTTTTTTTCATAAAATGCTAATCTATGGTGAGTGGGTATGACGGTATTTTTTTTTCCGCTTGTTATATCGGTGAGACTTCACATTGTTCTGTTTTAATGGATTATGAATTGCTATTGCTAATATGTTAAAAATCAGAATTGGCATACCTCAAGGATCATTCCTTGGGCCTCTACTTTTTATTGTTTTTATTAATGATTTGCTCTGTTTTGTTCCCTGTAAAACCACTCTTAACGCTGATAATACTACATTCCTCACAAGTGGTCAAATCTGAACAAAGCACTTGAATAACGGGATGGGGTGTTAAAGTTGGCTGAAGAGTGGTTTCGGGGAAATGAATTAACGATTAATAACTCAAAAACAGAAGAAATTCATTTTAACCTTAAAATAAATTCTAATGACAATAAATCAGTAAAATTGCTAGGAATCCATATTGACCAGAAGCTGAATTGGATTGAGCATATAAACTTTTATGTAGTAAATTGGCTAGAACTGTATTTTTATTTGACAAATTAAAGGACAATGTAAGTGAACAAATTATTCTAAATTGTTATTTACGCATTTTTCCATTCTCACCTACAATATGGTGTTCTCTTATGGGGTAACTCTGTAGGAGCCAAAACCGTTTTCAAATGGCAAAGGAAAGCAGTTAATTGCATTAGAGGAACAATGCCCAGGGAAGATTGCAAAGCAGATTTTAAGGCCTTAAATATCCTAACCCTTCCATCTTTATACATTTTAAATCGCTTATTATACGTAAAAGAGAATATAGACCAGTATAGCATCCGATCTGACATACATGCACAAGAAATAGCCATCATCTCAACTTACCACTTACAAGACTTACACTTACACACAATAGCTACAAATATCTTAGTATACAATTTTTTTATAAATTGCCCTCTTCTGTAACGATTCCAATAAAAAAATCAAAACAGTCCTTGATTCATGGTTAAAATTAAAATGTTTTTACTCTGTAGATAAGTTCTTGTCCTTGGAGGTTTTAGATATAAGTTTTTAAATACTGTTATTTATTCTATGACTATGTTTAATGTTTTAATGATAAGATGCCATTTGACAATGTCAATTGCTTTTGTAGAGCTGAAAGACAATAAAAAGATTTGATTTGATTAAGACCGTGTCGTAAATATATTGTCCATATACAGTTAATTTTTTTAACTTTTGAAACACCCTTTTGCTGATTCTTCAGGATTCAAATTGAGAATTATTCTGACAGCTTCCTTTTGTTTCTTCAGAACTTCATTCAAGTTTTCTTTTTTTGTTGACCCATATAAAGCCAAGCCAAATGAAATATGGGAATGAATATGCGCATGATATATCATTTTTAACACACTTACATCAGTGCATAAATATGACATTCTGCATTAGGCGAATATTTCTGAGTCAATTTTAGGAAGGATTTTTTCCACATGACGATTCCAGTTCATTACTCGTAGGATGATACTAGCGCATGCCTATGCTGATGACATAGCGCTTGTTGCTAGACGCCCTGAAGACCTAAAAGAAATGTTTCAGACTATTGAAGAGGAGGCTAGTCGTATGGGTCTGGAAATAAATGAGAAAAAGACACATTATATGAAAATGTCTGAAGCAGAGGCCAGAAGGAGAATCCAAAACTTGGATGTAGGCAATTATTGTTTTAAGGGTGTGGATAGGTTTGTTTACCTTTGGGCAGAGCTGAATAGCAAAAACACTGTCGCGCAAGAAATCATAAACCGAATCATGGCTGGTAACAGGGCATATTATGCTAACCTTAATAGTATAATAGCCTTAATTAAATTATAAAATAGGTTATAGCAAAAGAAAATATTACTTTAGTAGGATGCTTTACAGAATATTCAGTTAGGTCGCTGAGTGGATATAGTCCTGCCCTTGATATCTGAAGGACGTTGGTTTGATCCATTAAAAGTTAGCATATTTTTTATGGTTTGACATTCGACCTAGCTTCCCCTGTTCTTTATACTTAAATGGTCTAGTATGCCTGCATCAGGTATATATCCATCTTAAATAAAAGTGATCAAGTGATATTTCAGATTACTGATACAACACTCTCTTTGACAGAACTTTGTCCGTCAAGTAAAGGAGGCTGAGTGTCAGGCAGTGATAAGGCTGGAGGAGGAGAGTCGCAGAGATGAACAGACCAGCTGGTGGGGACAACTCTTCTGTGGCGATTCAGCCGATCTTTACTCACTCAATGAACGCAGGAATGTTCCAATCTTCCTTTCAGCTTCAGTCAAAAACCTCATCAACATCTTCCAGGTCTGAACCTAAAACTACCTTTAGTGAAAATATTGTCAAAAAATATTCAAATTGTAATGATGTTGTTTCGATGCTGTAATTGTTTGCTGCCAGTTACAAATAAAGCCCATTTTACACAATTATTTCTACAAATTTTTTTAACAATAGACAGACACATTTAATTTAAGAGATTCTTAGGGACATTTTACATCATGAAATGTAAAATGCAATGTTTCGTGATCCGTAATCTGATCCTGTCCTCAGGTGAAAAAGATCCTAATAAACAAATCATGGTAAGTTTCTAGACACCCAACCATGGGGTTAAGACCTTGTTAGTTGATCGTGGTGTTAAAAGTCAGCAATTTTGCGGTCGCAGATGAGAAGATGACATTCACAAATTTTCCATGATGGTGGTGGATGATGATAATGTCGCCGTGACTGTAGAAGATGTTCACTATTTCACTATGACCATAACAGATGTTCACGATTTCGTCATGAAGATGATGTCGGAAGATAGTGGATTTCACTGTGACTGCGGATGATATTCATGATTTCACCTTTGTAGGAGATCATGTGCAATACAAATCGTACTCAGTACAGAAAATGATTAATTTTTTAAACCCATACTTTTCAACGCTACTCAATTTAGGCCCGATCAGATTTTGGCTTGAGACCTGAGGGCCAAATAATTGTTTAACCCAGCCCCACCCAACCTGAAGTAAAAAGGCCTGACCCGCAGACTCCTTGTTTTAAAATTATAAATCTTACTTTAAGCTACATGAAAACTTTTAAAAGGTTTGTTTTATGTTATTTTCCCATTCAAAAGCAATGCATTGTTTAAATATAAAATAATAACTAGATTAATAAATTCCTTGTATGAAATATAGGCTATATAGGCTAAGTGAATCAATTGTTTATAAAAAGTATTAAATTTCCTTATTTATTTTTTATGATTCAACTTGTTCTAGATACCTGAAGATTCTGTTGACAACATCAACAGGTCCATGCTGAACAACACTCCAGTCTCTTCAAGATCTGTTTCCATCAATGAGGTAATTCCTGTTTGTAATACAGTAGAGTCTCTATAATCCGGCCGTTCAATACACCGGCATGTCCAGTAATCCGGCACTGTGTTTCCAACAATGAGTCAGTAAATTTTAGGGGTCTGCGGTACAGAAAATTTAAGGTCGGTACGGTTCGGTACGGTACAATATTTTGTACCTCGGTTCTCAGTAAAAAATCGGTACGGTACGCGGCTACCCGTATTTTTGCGGTTTTCTTCTCAGATCTGTATTTGAACCATTATTTTTAATTTTAATAATTGACATTACTATGAAAATGGATAGTATCCTACATTGATGGTTTTCTAACAACAATTACTGTACCACACATTATTAAAACCTTTTACTCCTACGAGGATTGTGTCAAGAAAAATCACAGTTAAGTTAAAGGCCTTACCTATTTTACTCTGAGATACTTTGAATAGCCATGATAAAAATTATTCCAAACCAATACAATGTCTAGTTGTTTTTTAAACTTTTAAAAACATATAAAAGCATTCAGTACAAAAACAGTGTAGTTGACAGCTATTCACATTCAACAGATGACAATGAAAAACAGGATGTTATGATGAAGTAATGGCAAATAGCATCTTTTTTATCAGCTTGAAAACTAATTATAAGATGGATACATCTTTTGCAAAGTTTTTTTTCTTACACTAAAATTTGGATTACCCCAAAAAAATATTATTGTCTTTTCATTTACAAAGTTACAATATCCACACATAACAATCGTTAGTTCATCTCAGACTCAATCAAATTTTCTTAGTATATTTTAAAGCTCTTCAAAAGAGTCAAAAGACCCAGGCACCTAATTAATTAGGATGGCCTATATAAATTGAGTAGGTTACAATGAGGGTAGCAAAATCACAATCATAATTCTAGTTCATAAGATTTAGATTGCATAAAGTACCTTCAACACAATAAAAAAATCTAAGAAACAAGAAACAAAAAACATTTCAACCTTAACAGCCACATCCAAAAATATAAGACAAGATACAGAACATGCAATGACATTAATTTAAGACAGAGTATGCTTGCATAACGGAAAAAAATATGCAAACAACAACTACTACTACGCTTCTGGTTTGATCAATAGAAAGATAAATTATCCATAACAAATATCTTAACTTATAAAATAAGATTGAAGATTAGTAACGACTTTAATATGAAGCCATAAACAGTTTTATGGCAGTAGGCAATGGCCAGCGGCAAATTGAATATTCACGAAAATACTGACTGAGTTAGAGATAACATTTACAGTCATCATAAAACTATTATTTTTATGATAAAATAGAATTGGGGAAAGTCGTAAAGGAATAAAAGTGATAAAACTCAACAGTTCTTGGAAGTACTTGAATACAACAATTATTGTCGTGATAAAATGTTAATGGATTTGGGACTGCTAATGGGTTTTTTATTGCATCATCACCCTAGTAAAAAACTTATTTTGGAGAAAGAATTTGAGTGCTGTATGACTGAAATCATACTAGATGGTATGTCATTTATATTGTTAGGGTTATATAGAACTCCTGAATATAAATATATCCAACCTTTCTTAGCAAAACTGGATATTACTCTAGATTTATTAACAAAAAGGTTCAAGAACATCATATTAGCAGGTGATATAAATATTAATGTTTTAAATCATGATAATGTGTACCATCAATTTTTAAATATCATAAATAAATATAACATGTCTTATAGGGTTGACTTTCCAACTAGGATTACTGATAAATCAGCTACTGCAATTGATAACTTCATTACCAGCATTTTTGAAACAAAATTAAATGTCTCAGGCGTTATTACTCATGTATCTGATCATGATGCTCAATTGCTTGAAATACAAAATGTTAACAGTACAAACAAAAAGGTAATGAAGAGGTTATGCAGAAAGTATACTGAAAATAATTTTAAAATGTTCCTTAGGGACTTAAGTAATGAACACTGGTATGATGTTTATCAATCTTCGGTGGATGCAAAATTTAATGTCTTTATGTCTACTTTCAGTCACATTTTTAACACTAATTTCCCCAAAATGATGTGTGTAGAAAAAGTATCAAATATATGTAAATGGAATTCAAATGAAATAATAAGGAAAAAAAGTGAAATCCATGAACTAGTAACATATACTAGAGCAAAAAGGAATTCACTGTTATATAAAACAATAAAAGTAAAGAAAAAAGAGTTAAAGGAATCCATAAACAGTGCTAAACAAAAATTTTACCAAAATAAATTTAGAAAATCTAGGAACATAACAAAGACTATATGGAATATAATAAAAAATGAGATTTCACTAAAATCAAAACAAACTGTCCCCTCCAAAATAATCTTAGTTCAAAATGATAACCAAATATCAGATCCTGTTGCTGTGAGTAATGTTTTCAACAATTTCTTTACAACTGCTGTTGAAAAGCTTATTTTGCCAAACATTGATTCAACATCAAATCACAACATTTTCACCCAAAAAAAGTGACTGCCATGACAAACGTTTTTAAATTTGAAACAATAACAGAAGACCATCTTAAAAAAGTCGTGCTGTCATTTGAAAATAAAATTTCTTCTGGGCATGATGAAATACCAATTACTCTAATTAAAAAATCACTACTTTTCATATCAAAACCATTAACACATTTAATAAACTCCTCTCTCATTTCAGGCATATTTCCATCCAAATTAAAGTTGGCTAAAGTTATTCCCATATTTAAAAAAGGTAATCCTAAAGATCCATCATGCTATCGTCCAATTTCAATTTTACCTGCCTTTTCCAAAATTTATGAGCGTATAGTTTATATTCAGCTGTCTAGATATCTTGAAATCAATCAGTTACTGGACAAAGAGCAACATGGCTTTCGAAAAGGAAAATCCACAGTAACAGCTGGTATAGAATTTATAGAGTCTATAATAAATGCAATTGATAAAGGGAAAAAGGTGGTAGGAATATTCTTAGACCTCAGTAAAGCCTTTGACAGTGTGTCGCACAATAAATTAATTAACGTTTTAAATGAACTTGGAGTCCGTGGTAAAGAACTTAAATGGTTTGAATCCTACATTAAAAATAGACACCAGTTTGTTGAAGTGGATGACATCATAGAACATTATAAAATAAACTACATTGAAAAAATTCAATCACAGCATCAGACACTACGATATGGAGTCCCCCAGGGATCGATCCTGGGCCCTCTACTATTTCTTTGTTATATTAGAGGTTTGCCTGGGACTATTCCTGGGAGTGACGGATCCATGTGTCTGTATGCTGATGATTCTAATATCCTCCTAAATGGAAATTCTAATTCTGAAATTGAAACATCTTCTTCAAAAAATCTTCAAGTAACTCATGAATTTTTAAAAGAAAAAAATCTTCTTATAAATGCAAATAAATCAAACTTCATATATTTTTCAACCAAACAATCAACAACAAAATTTGAAGCAAAAATTTGTATAAACAATGACAAGATAGACCAAGTTGAACAGACTAAATTTCTTGGTTTAATTATCGACAAAAATCTTACATGGGACAATCACGTTAAACATGTTGTTAAAAAATTGACTTCTGGTGTATGTGCTTTAAGACAGATGTCTCAGATCTGCAGCATAGACACTTTGAGGATAATATACTTTTCATTACTGCATAGTCACATAGCTTATGGAATATCTATTTATGGAGCAACATCAAAGACCAATTTGGATTCTATCCTTATCAAACAAAAGAGAGCTATTCGTCTAATGATGAAACTGCAAAGAAAACAATCAGCTAAGAGATATTTTAAGGAATTACAAATCGTAACGGTGTATAGTCTGTATATATATGAAGCATCTGTCTATGCAAAACAAATTCAATTGTCATCCACTTCAAGCAATACTGGTGACTATAACACTAGGTTTAAAATTAACCTACCCCGACATAAATTGGAATTTTTCAAAAAGAAAACTTATTATTCAGGTTTGATTTTTTTGCAACACCTGCCGGCTTATATAAAGACGGAAGACAATTTGAATAAATTTAAAAGAACACTAAAAGACTTTTTAATTAAATTTTCATTTTATTCCATAGAAGAATTTTTAAACAATAAAAATTAGTAGCTTACATAATTTGAACTCCATAGCAAAATTAGGGGAACAATTTAAATTTTCACAATGATTAGTAATACTTTTTCTTTTCTGTGTATATTTTTACTTAAGCCCGGAAAATGGGTATATGTTTTTTATTTTAATAACTGCTAATTTTATTGTGATTGCAATAGTGTTATATTTTTAATATATTCAATTAGAAATTCTTCACTTATCTTAATAGTATATTTTAATTTAAGCACTTTGTAATATGTAGTTATATGTATTTATAGCCTATTTGACTCTATTCAATACATGTTATTTTATGTATAATGAATAAAGAATGATTTGATTTGATTTGATTTGATTTAGTAATAAATTATGAAGATCGTACACAAACATCTGATAAGACTTTTATGTGCTCAGAACCAACCACCGTTGACTATGATAAGTAATTTATTATTATAATAGGCTCCGAACCGATGACGGTAATTAAGCTTGTACCGTACCGGACCGACTTTTTCGGTGCACCACAGACACCTAGTAAATTTTCATGTCTAGACTTGAAAACGTGATTGTCCATATTCCACTGACTGACGTCTTCTACGGGTAGTTGCGTACAGTGCAAGGCGAGTGAGTTGAGTGAAGGCAGTGTTGTGAGTATTGTAATGTACATACTATACAATCTACAAATCTTGTGCGATGTCAGGAAAACATAAGCATGTTACGCTGACTTTAGATAAAAAGTATACGATTTTAAAACGTTTAGAATAGGGTGAAAAGTTGGCTCTTCTGTCTAAGGAATATGCAACTAAACACTAAGGAAAGTGAACATTACGGATACAAGAGGTGGAGGAAGGTGGATTCCGTCAAAGGAATCTGTCGGGCGTGCAACTATACACGACATAAAGAAGAAGAAGGAGCAAATTGAATCGCTCTTTAAG